TCTTTTAGATTCTTTCAATACATTTTGTCCAATCAGTAAGTTATATGCAAGAATTAGAAAATTATATTAAGTTTTTATTGTTTGTTTTAGATTCTTCAAATAGGTTTTATTCAAATAATAAGCTTCATTTAAGAATAAAAAAGTTATATAGAAATATCGATTTTTTCCCTCTTTTAGGTTCTTGGAATGAATTTTATTCAAAGGGTGAGTTACATTAAAGAATGAAAACCTAATATTAATTTTTCCTTTCTTTTAGATTCCTCAAATGGATCTCAGCAAATGGCTAAGTTACATATCAGTATTCGAGAAATAACGATGTGTCATTTTGATTTTTTTATGATAGACGACATGGGTTCGACATCTGTGTGACTGCCGATATTTTTCAGATCCTTCATTGCGTTCCCAGGTTGGTGAGCTTTGAAACCTTTTTGCAGTTTCTGATATTGCTTTGTGAGAAAGTACTGTAACTATTTGTTTCAGTTTAGAAGACTTTGAACACCAATATTCTGAAACTCTGAAAGGTTTTCAGGCAGTGGCAAAATCGGAAAGGCTCTAAAGTTTTCCCGGAACCACACTTTTTTTAGGAAATATACAAATAAGGATATAGTTGTAAGGGTATAGATATAAGGTCTAGATATAAGAATATCGAAATATGGATACAGAGATAAGGGAAATCCCAACGGTAAACCATTTAAATCATGGAACACCATATAACTACGTAGGGCAGAACCTTTTTTGAAGAAAAATCACATATGGTTTCGTTATTTATTTACTGAACCTTTTTTCAGTCAGAACCTTTTTGAGGCTTCTGCGTTTTACCCGATACAAGAACCCCTAAAAGGGTTCTGTAAAACTCCTTTTTTTCTTTCAGAGCACCTACACCCACACTCTGATACATACCGTCACGCCTACGTCACATCCTCATTTATCAATACAAGGCGAATAGAAAAGTACTTTTATTAATGCTTAAAAATTATGGCCAATTCTAAAATGTTACCAAATGCACCATTCGTTGCGTTGACTATTTTTGAAGTGATACTAAATAAATGCCTCGTTGGGTCAAAGCGGATGTAATGTAAGGTATTTGCTTTCCTTTTGTATCCTTAACTACTCCATTGGTTACGTCTATAAGAAGCATCATGATCTCTTCTTCTGGCCTAGTAATGTTTTGTAGTAAATGATAGGTAAACATACCATTACGTCCATTTTCAGTTTTATCAGTTGCGACTGCACCTGGAGCACAAGCAAATGCGATCAAAGTACCGGCCTTCGCAGACATTGCCGCCAATCCAATGGATGATGAGCTCAATGATCTAGATTTGGGCATATTCGGTAGCCAATAAGTACGGCAACAGTCAAGTAAATAGACAATTACAAAAGGATTTTTGTCAGACATAAGATCTAGGAATCGTTGTGCATTGATGGCACGATATTTAAGGTCGCTTGGACCTCGAATACGATCGTTATCACACGGAATTAAATAGTTTTGATCGTCACGTTGAACACCATGACCTGAGAAGAAGAAGAGGACAAGATCATCTGAGATAATAGATTCGACAAATTTCTCCAGTTCTCCGTCCATTTCCTCGCAGTTGAGATCTGTTTCAGTTGTCACTAAGAAACCAATACTTTTGAGCGTTTTACTTAAATCATTCGCATCGTTAAGACAGCTATCTAATGGCAATTGTTTGTATTTATTGTTTCCAATAACCAAAGCAATTCTTCTTCGCTTGTGGCTATCATAAGTCGGGGTGCCGCTTAATCGTCTTGAGTTCGGGTTATCTAAAATCGAAAAATACACAAAGTCCGACTCTCTGTATGCGTCATAGGTCAAGAAAAACAATTTTGCATGTCTTTAATCAACACTGTATATTGAGTACTTCTGTGAGAGTAGACCACTTTAGAACTTCCAGAATTTTCATTTTTCGTTTTTTAACTGAAAACGAAAGTCTTGTATCTGATGATTTAAAATATCTTTAGTGGGTTAACGATAAAACAAAGAATATGTTTGAAATCGAATTCTCTAACTCTCGACACCCATTTATCTTACAAAGGAGAGCCGATACTTATGATAAATTATGACTACAACAAGTAAAAACTCATGCTATGAATTTGAGAATAGAATATTACAAAGAGAAAAATAGGACTGGCATTGTTTAGTTTTCCAGATATCGGTCCGGACAAAAGTAAAAAGTTATGCTAAAGCTATATGGGTGAAAAGTAAAAAAATGGCTGTAGCTGCAAATCCATTTTCGTCCTCATATTTTTGTGAAACACGAACTAGAAAGGTGTTGAATTGTATAGAATTGAAATTTTAATTCTCCGTCCAGGTTTCCCCACATAGGTGACAAACGTTGTAATTAATTTTCCATCATAGATCGTAACAGGCAGACTCCAGGTACAATCACAGATTGTGACAGAAGCCTTCAAGGGACTACCGAAGATCATTTATTAGTAATATGTGATTGGAATTTATATGAAGTATTTCCTTGTTGAATTTGCAGGCTGGAAAGTTACCCATGATATAGAAATATGACTTAGGATGCATCAAAAAGACTAGTTTTTTGATAATTAACAACAATAGTCAGAACATTTTTCACACTGCTAATCCTGTAGGGATTGCGCTAACAACATTTGAATCTATTTTTAATGAATAATTGAAATTATAAACACATTTACTGAAACACTTGTAATGCCCTGAAAAATAAAGAGACTTTTGGCATTTTCTTCTAGGTTACCTATACCAACAATCACTTGTTAAAAAGCACGGAATAAAACCCTTGTATAATCAGATTTGTGTCAGGTGTCTACATTGAAAGAATCTCTATTTACTTTTATTGCACCCTCTTACTTACAATCTATATAACGGTAACTTATCTCTCCCTAAACTGCACTGAAATGCACCCATTATCCTTAAACGGATTAATCTTAGAGCAGTTCTAGGACTCACACACGACAGTTTAGCTCTCGATTATGAAGGCTTTTAAAAGTGATGTCAATCAGACAGATCATATGGTGTTGTTTAGGCACAACTGAACATTATTAATACTGTTACCATCGAGGGGTATCCAAGGACTGAGGATTAGAAATCCCTCATCAGTTACCCTGCAGCTCCTGGCATACTAAAGGTAAAAATATGGAATATTCACGATAATTTTTGTTCTTACACTCATTTTCACTTACGAAATTGAGAGAATCAATAGTGTGATGCAAAAATTCTTTTTAAAACAGCAATATCGCGACTTTTGTGAATGGTGGAGCTGTGAGGGAAACGATAGTTGGTTCTCATTTCCTCTAGGAATTATCACAGCGACACTGACAATTCCTCGGTACGTTAGGAATTCCTATTTCTCAGTCCTTGGACACTGCTGAACAATAGAACTTATGGGGGAATTTTGGATCTATCTTACATGTATGCAAACTAAGGAGAACTTTGGAGAGCATCTTTATATATGACTTTTTATTTCGATACAATCACAAGTTAACTCTATAGAAAGTATTGACGATAATATTTTCAAATTTCTCTGCTTGATAGTAACGGTTCTCATAAGGTTCAGTTTGTCTAAAAAAATACCGTCTGATCTGTTCCATTAGCGTCCTATTTAAAATGCTTCTTAATCAAAAGCTAAGTTTTCGTGTATGAGTCTTACGAGAGCCGAATTTTGTTACTCACTATTTTAATAGAGATGTACCAAGGCTGAAAATGGAATTTTTCAATTTTCTGAAGAAATAAAATGCTTTATCATGAAAACGAAGGATTTGGAAAGTTTTTGAAGTAGTAGATGTTATAGAACAAACATTTTTCTGCAGAATGAAATGTTGCTGAACTCGGTACGAAGGGTCTTTCAATTTCTATTACAGATTTACTAAAGGCACTAACAGAACTGTGGCCGAAAGTTTCCATTTAGGCTTTTGGACCTTTAGTAAAAATGCTTTTTAAATTGAATTACATATCGTACAACTTCACCATCATCTCATTCTACAGGAAAATGTTTGTTGTATAAGCATCCATATTGAAAAAAATTGTACCGTATTACACATAATCAGAGCATTCTCGAAAAAAACGACAACCATACTGATAAATAGTGTGTACATCTCTAAATTCTGCCAAGTGATTATAATCGAAATTATAATAGTTATTAATTTCCAGTATGCCCATACGATTTTAATCTCCAAAATTTTTCATTGGAGGGATATGTTGCCGAATTAATCCTATATTATTTTTGTCGTTGTATATGATTTGAATTCATGAATATATATTACATAGAAATATGTGCCTTTTTCCTTTCTTCTCTGTTTCCCCCACTTTCTCTCTACATTCCTTTTCCTGGTTATGCTCACTCTTATATATAGGCTTGTCCACGTAATGGGTCAACCTCAACGAAAATCTCAAGTTCGAAGATCAATATTATTGTCTAATAGGCTGTAGTGCAAAATGAGTGATACTTCGTTTTTTTTCTACGGACAAGGAGAGGTTCTATTGACATTTGATAATTATTGAGAAGATTTGGTAGCAAATATGGAAGTTCTTAATACTGATTTTCTTCATCAAGTAACGTTAATGACAACAAAGTTTTGTGTCAATAAATGGTATATTCTGACAATTTATTTTTGTTCGATATCTACAACTGTCGGCTTAAACCTACTCCAGATCGTATTCTCTTATACGGAGTACACTAGCAGAACGAATATCTCACCCTACAATTTTTGCCCGTTCTTCGTCATTGAATTTTGCTTCATAATTTCGTTATAATTTTCAAGCGAGTACACCAAATCAACTCAACATTTTGGGGATCGAGGGAAGCACAAAAACAAATTTATTGATGAAAGAGTCACATTTCTATTTGCTTTCGTTACTGAGGAAGATCAGAACTAATTATTCTGAACAAAACCCTATCGTCTTATGCTTGGTTAAGCCGCTATATGCACGAAGTGATGTTTTTTTTATCATCGTTGAGGTTTATAAAACATACCTAAATTTGTACAACTAAAACGATATTCATTCTTTCTTCCAACGGCTTCAATCCCTGAACCGGGAGAAGGTTTGTCGATGCGAAAATTATTAAATGTATTTGTTTCGACAGTAGATTTTTGTGGTTGAGATTTTTGATTTTCGCTTGGTGTTTGGAGTACTACCAAT